TGTGTGTGTGAGTGTGTGTGTGTGTGTGTGTGTGTGTGTGTGTGTGTGTGTGTGTGAGAGAGAGTGTGTGTGTGTGTGTGTGAGTGTGTGAGCGGAGCTTCTTTTGTCATGTAAATGATGTGTGTCATCAGAGAAGAGCTCAGGTGCGTCTGTGTCACTCATGATGCTCTTCATGCAGATTATGACCCCCATCTCTCTCTCAGATGATTCTATTTCTTCATGTTTGCCTCTTATTTTAATAAAAACATTATTTGTTGTTCTGGCACTTGGCTACATGCAAATGTGTTCATGTTGATTTGTGTGCAACCTGAACATGAAAACTGTTGATTCTCTCTCTTCCAAAGCTTCTCCGGTGGCTTTTAGTAGCACTTTAGTTCAGTGGACAACTCTTTTATCAGTCATTTTTGTCTGCATGAAATGAAATGCTGAAATGTCAAAAGTTCTTGGTGTTTCGAGTTTCTTGAGATCCGTGACCTCTGAAGATCCAGCGCTGAAAAGCCCTGATGTGTGTCACGACTGAACACTCTTGATTCTGATGAATTCAGATGAAGAATACATGGATATGAAGCGTTTGATTCAAGTATTTCAATGAAATGTTCAGCTCCCTCTCTCACATCTGAGTCTGAGGCTTTTATAACTGTTTCTATGGGAACCACATTTAGTGCCATTAAAATGACAGAAATGCTTGTTGCAGTGGAATGGAATGATTGTTTGGTTTGTTTATGTGTGTTTCTTTGAGTAGCCTATGTTGTTTTATCAGTGAGATTACTGAGAAATAGACTAATATTTGTATTAATACTAACTAATAGTATTATGAAAGTTTAATAATGTAGCCTATTTTTTATATCACTTTAATAACCTTACTATTGTTGTTATTAATATCCCGCATCTATTAATAGAATAATTCAGCAGCGGACTGACGCGAAGCTCCTCCCCCTAGTGTGACGTATGAAGTGAGCGCAACCGTTTTGGTTTTTATGCAAATAAGATGTCGCTTTAGCCAATCGCGCTGCAGGCCGTCCCCCCGCGAGCCAATCGCTGCACTCGACTGTGACTCGCCATATAAGGAGCGAGAACTCCAAAAAAGGAAACAGCGTATCTCTTTATATGGAGGAAAGTAGATCTGGCGTGTATCGATCCCTCCGCGCTGGCGCAAGGTGCTGCGAAGCGTCTCATCAGCGGCGGTGATTGACAGCTGTCAGCGGCGAGACGCGGAGTTGAAGCGGCAGCGGCGCGCGAGCGGAGAAGATCGCTGATTTCACGCATTCGCGGCGCACTAGATGACGCGGCGGAGTGATCGCGGAAGCGCTCGCGCGGTTTTCCTTTTAGAGAAAGCTCATCGCTCGCGGAGCTCCAGGAGAGAGGGAGAGAGAGAGAGAGAGAGAGAGAGTGGGAGTGAAGCCGGCTGGAGGCGCTTAGGTTCAGCATCACTTCTCAAAGTTTCTGGCAGACTCTGTTTGTGTATGAGCGCCGCTTCGGAACTCGCTTTCTCACAGACTGCCGCCTCAGCGCTCCGCAGCCGTCACACGGATCGTTCTCTCCGGTTTCTAGGATGTTATCCAGCCAGACCGGAGCGGCTCTGAGTGGAGCCGGATCAGCGGCGGGGAAGAGCGCAGGCCACGGCGCGGTGCTGATGGGCGCCGGGGTCCGCACAGGGTTCGCGCGGGGACTGGGGCCGCTGCAGGCTGGAGCGATGGGGCTCGGGATGCCCGGGAGATTCGAGCCGGATAAAGAGGGTCCCCCGCACGTGTGCAGCGGCTCCGACGCGGACTCTGACTCGGGCGATGAGAACGAGCCCATGGGGTCAATCGGGGACAACCGGAGGGGAGGCGGCGTCAAGCGGGAGAGAGCGGAGATGGAGGCGGCGATGGTGGGACAGGAGGCCGGCTTGCCCTCCGCGGCGCTCGCGGGAGGAGCGGCCGGAGCGAAACCGGGCAAGAAGACCCGCGGCAGAGTGAAGATAAAGATGGAGTTTATAGACAACAAACTGCGCCGGTACACGACCTTCAGCAAGAGGAAGACGGGCATCATGAAGAAGGTGAGAAACTGAACATCATCAGCCAGCAGATCATTGAAACGTGTTTCAGGTATTCTGATGCAGTCTGGCGACGTTAAAGATCATGGCTGGTAACTGAAAGTTTGTAGGTTCGAGTCCTGCTAGAGAACTGAATAGGATAATGAAATGAAAATACATTTGAGCGCGTGTAAAGGCGACAGGAAAGAACGTCATAAAAGTAACACCAGTTGTTTCTCCTAGAGCTAAAGACTTTTGAATGTTGCAATTAAATGTTGCGTTAAATCCAATTGTTATATTAAAATCGATACAATTTCTAACATTTTTAAAAAGTGAATATTTAATTTTTTTTTAATTTCAATGTAAAATAAAATATTAAAAAACATTTTTTTTGTTATAAATGAATATTTTATTCATTTTTATGGGATGGTGGGCCAAATCAAAAGTCATCATGGGCCCACTTTGGCTCGCAGGCCCTGATTTGGGCACTTGAAAAAGTACTCAAGACGCTTGTCATTCTTCTGAGCTGCTCCACATTAGTTTAGAGCTCTGGACTCTTGCTGAATGTCACTCTGTTTTTACTCCTGGTGGAGAAAATAGGCCGTCAGGTCTCCAGGGGTATCTGGAGCAGTGGGTTTGCGTGGGTCTTGTTCTTCGGCTCGTGAAGTCTCTCTGTGGTGTCCCATCCTTCGGGAGGTGATCTGAAGTCACAACAGACGTGAGGGGCTGTGAGCTTTAAATAGAACGAGCCACTGACATTCTCTATTACACACAAACCTCCAACCATCATGACCCACATAATCTCAGGCCGCCGAAACGACTGAGGAGATGCTTAGAAAGTAAACATTTTGGGAACGTTTTTAAAGCAATACTACTGTAGTTAAACACAAATTCTCATATTGTTTGCTCACCTTCATGTCGTTCCAAACTTGCATGTTTTTTTCCCCCATAAAGCACAAAACGACCATTTCAAAAAAATCTATATGCAGCCCTTTTTATTCCAAAAATTCAAATTCCACAAAGCACTATTACAATAGTCCGTATTACTCATGCACTGTATTTAGTTTAATATGTTTCACAGAATATACAGTAGGTTCAAATCATTAGAAATGCTTTTATAGTACTTAAATAGTGTTTGATTGTTGTATGTAAAAGAGCAGCATGAACATTACGCTCAACATCTCCTTTTTTGAGTTCCACAGCATGAGGGTGAGTAAATGATGACAAGACGTTCGTCTTTGAGCGAACGATCACTTCAAAGGAATAGTTCAGCCAACAATTATATTTTTCTGAAAATGTGCTCATCTTCAGGTCATCTGAGATCAGGATGAGTTTGTTTCTTCATCAGGTTTGTAGAAATGTAGCACTGCATCAGTGTCTCAGCAATGGATGCTCTGCAGTGAATGGGTGCCGTCAGAATGAGAGTCCAAACAGCTGATAAAAACATCACAATAATCCACAAGTAATCCACAGCACTCCAGTCCATCAGTTAACATCTGGAGAAGACAAAAGCTGAAACAAATCCAGCATTAAGACGTTTTTAACAAAAATTTTGGCCATAATCCATAATAACGCTTCCTCCAGTAAAAAAGTGTTCTGGTCTGAATCAGGAGAGAAATCTGCACAGATCAAGCACAG